TAAGTAAACTAGAAGCCTTCTCAATAACATAAAGGGTGAGGCAAGGCTGTCCATTATCACCACTATTATTCAATACTGTACTAAAAATGCTAGCTATAGCAACAAGACAAGAAAAAGAAATTAAAGGAATAAAAATAGGCAATTAGGAAACAAAACTTTGCAGATGATATGATGGTATACTTAATGAATCCTAGAGAATCAACTAAAAAACTACACGAAACAATCAACAATTTCAGCAAAGTTGCATAATATAAAATAGACCCACATAATTCATCACTTCTATATACTACCAACAAAACCCAGCAAGAAATAGAAAGAGAAATTCCATTTAAAATAATGGCAGACAGTATAAAATACTTGAGAGCCTACCTGCCAAGACAAACTCAAATATTATATGAACACAATTATAAAACGTTTTTCACAGAAATAAAGACAAATTTAAACAATGGGAGAAATGTTACTTGCTTATGGATAGGCCAAGCCAATACAATCAAAATTACAATTCTACCCAAACTATGAAAGAATTATTTTATAGAGTTAGAAAAAAATCATGACAAAATTCATCTGGAAGAACAAAAGGTCAAAAATATCAAGGGAATCAATAAAAAAAACATGAAGGAAGGTGGCCGAGCAGTACCAGATGTCAAACTGTATTAAAAAATGGTAATCATCAAAACAATCTGATACTGGCTAAGAAATAGAGTCATGAATCAATGGAATAGATTAGGTATGCAACACAAAGCAGTAAATGGCTATAGTAATCTAAAGCTTGATAAACTCAAAGATCCAGGCTTTGGGGATAAGAACTCAACACCTAACAAAAATTGCTAGAAAAATGGAAAACAGTTTGGCAGAAACCAGATATATACCAACACTTCAGAATGTATATTAAGATAAGGTCAAGAGGCAGCTAGATGGCACAGTGGATAGGCTCCGGCCTTGGAGTCGGGAGGATCTGCGTTCAAATCCAGCCTCGGACACATGACACTTGCTAGTTGTGTGACCCTGGGCAAGTCATTTAACCCCACTGTCTTGTCAAAAGCCAAAAAACAAAACAAAAAAACAAAAAACGGTAAGGTCAAAATGGATATACAATTTAGATGTAGAGGGTGATACCACAAACAAATTAGGGGACCACGGAATATTTTACCTGTCTGATCTATGGATAAGGAAAGAATTTATGATCAAACAAGAGACAGAGAGGATTATGGGATATAAAATGGATAATTTTGATTACATAAAACGAAAAAGTTTTTGCACAAATAGATCCAATGTAGTCAAGATTAGAAGGAAAGCAGAAAACTGAGGAGGAAATTTTATAGCAAATTTCTCTGATAAAGACCTCATTTCTCAAATATATAGAGAACTGAGTCAATAAGAATATGAGTCATTCCTCAATTGACAATTTGGTGAAAGGATGTAAACAGGCAGTTTTCAGAAGAAATCAAAGCTATCTCTAGTCATATGAAAAAATGCTCTAAATAATTATTGATTAAAGAAGTACAAATTAAAACACTTCTGAGGCACTATCTCACACCTATCAGATTGGCTAAAATAACAGAAAAAAAATGTCGGGGGAGGAGGGAGTTGAGGAAAAATTGAGACCCTAACGCACTAATTCACTATAGAACTGTGAACTGATCCAACCATTCTGGAGAACAATTAGGAACTAAGCCCAAAGAGCTATAAAACTGTGCATACCCTTTGATCCAGCAATACCACTACAAAGTCTATATCTAAAAGAAATTTTAAAAAACAGAAAGGACTTATATGCACAAAAAATATTTATAGCAGTTCTTTTTGTGGTAGCAAAGAACTGGACATTGAGGGGATGCCCGTCAACTGGGGAAAGGCTGAACAAGCTCTGGTACATGATTGTGATGAAATACTATTTTGCAATAGGAAAAGATGAGCAGGATGATTTCAAAAAAACCCAGAAAGACTTAGATGATATCATGTCAAGAGAAATGAGCAGAGCCACGAGAACAGTGTACATAGTAACAACATTATCCTATAATCATTAACTGCGGATGACTTAGCTATTCTCAGCAATACAATGATCCAAGACAATTCTGAAGGACTTATAATGAAAAATGCTATTCACCTCCAGAGAAAGAACTGATGGAATCTGAATGCAGACTGAAACACACTTTTTTTTTTACTTCATTTTTCTTGGTTTGTTTTTTTTTTTTTTTGGTCTGTGTTTTCCTGTGCAACATGGCTAATATGGAAATATGTTTTGCATTGACTGCACATGCATAATCTGTATTAAATTGCTTGTCTTCTCAAGGAGCAGGGAAGGCTAGGGAAAAAGGAGAGGATTTGGAGCTCAAAACTTTTAAAAAACAAATGTTAAAAATTGTTTTTACATGTAATTAGGAAAAAATATAAAAATTTTTTAAAAAAGGGGTTGGATGAGATGACTTCTATGTTCTTCCCTTCTAACTTAGAGATTTTATGAGGTACATCAAAATTCAGTAGCCCCAGAAAAGAACTATCCAAATATAGGATAAAGTGGTGCTTAAATGGAAATTAGTAACATAGTGTGGCAAGATCAAATACACAAAATAGTATAAATATTTTAACTGGTGAAATGATGCCTAACATTATGATAGGAACATAATAAAAAACTATATATAAATACATCAAGCTAGGTTATAGATAAGAGCACTCTCTTATCATCGGAGTCATAAGGTAGAACAAGTCTGTATACATGTTCCTAGTTCTTTTTCCAGGGATTTAATAGTGGTATTGTATATAAAGAAAGGCAGCATGGTATAGTAAAGGCTGGTCTCAGGAAGACCTGGGTTCAGGACCTGTCTTTAACCATACTAACCATGTGGCCATCCACAAATAATTGACTTAACCTCTCTGAACTCCAAGCAATTAACTCCTTAAGAGCATGAATTAAAGATGAGTAGCCAGTCTGCCTCCGTGAAGAAAATTTCTATACAGGATGTTCCCTATAGAGATGAAATCTAGGTCCAGACTAAAACAATTACATTTTCAAAAAAGAGTTTGTATATGCGTATTATGAGGTAAAGGAGAGTTAGTGATAAACAGATTTTTATAAGCACATAAAAATTTGCCTTAATGTTTTAGTCATGAGGGTATAGAATGTTCATTTGGAGGTAGAAAAACCTATATGAAAGTTTACGTTTTAACCTCTACTTGCCATAATATAGGTCCATTTATGTCCCACAGCTGCTTTCTGCTGTAGCTATACCCTAACAGTCTGACTTCAGCTGTAGGCTAGAAGAAGCTGGCTATGTCTGTTGAGTGGAATGGAATCACCCACCAGAGTACTTGGCATAAAAATTAATCCCAGCTTGAGGAAAGATATTTTTAACCTTAAAATGTTATCTAGCATTTACTAGATGATCAAAGTACAGTAATAGTACTATAATAACATCACACTAGAATTATTGGAATAGAAAGCATTTTAGAGCCACAGTATTCAACGGACTAGAAGAATTTTTTTCTTTCCATTTTTCCTCTGGAGAGTGACAATAGTATTCCCACCATGCACCATGCCCTCCAACTATCTCCTGCATCACAAATAGCCTGCTGGACATTTTGAAGTCCTATAGATTACTAATTTCCATTTATGCAGTACCATAATCTTTATGGGAAAAAAAAGCAACTAAAAATAAATTCTCATTAATGTGACAATGCTGCCCTTCATTCTTAATCACTTATTATCTCCTTCAATAAGAAAATGCTTACCCATTAAGAAGGTCAGGTATTGGTGTGTCTTGGTTTAAACAAATCCAAAATATAGACATTTGGATTTAATTAAAAAAAAAACCTGATGAGTTTTATAAAAATATCATTTGCTTTATATGAGGATTCACCATTACATTCCTTTAAATAGCGACTTCCCCTAAAGGGTCAATTTAGAAAGTCAATTTCTAGTCAAGCTTTTTGGAAAACCACTACGGTTATGGATGTTCCAGAGCACCACAACCCAATAAATGCTGCTTTAGTTGTTTTCTGTGATCTAGTAGTGACACCAAGTGGCCACAAAAAAACAAAACAAAACAAAACAAAACAAAACAAAACAAAACAAAAGAAACCCAGAAGTGTAATTCAACTCATCTGGGGGACAATTAATACCTTTACAATTTCACGGATTCAAGCTTGATTTTCTCAAGTGTTTACATTTTTAGCTCAGGTTCAGATATTTGATACAGTTGGCAAACTTGACAAGCAGATCACAGAATCACTGAATTTGAAAGTTGGAAGGGGCCACCTAGTAAAACCATCATACAAAAAGGGAAGATGTTCTGTTTCATTTGGAGAAGAGAAGCCTGAGGTTTAATTTAACCTGTCAAAGCAAAACACCAAATGTCCTTCATCTATATATGGAAAGGTATGGAAGGGTCTAACAGGCCCAACAACATTTACATAAAAATCTGTGTATATTATACAGATAAGCAATGTAATGTACAGAGGGCTAGCCTGAGAGTCAGCTAAAACTAAGTGACACTGTTAGTTCTTCTGTCAACTAAACACTATTAGAGATACTCCATTTGGAGAATGGTACAAGATATTTTTATTCTCCTAAGATTTAGGCTTTTTCAAAGCTACCACAATAATAAAAGATTTAGCTACCGTTAGTTTTGGAGAAAAGGGAATATTTTCTGAGCTCTGAATCAACTGTATTGGACAATCAAATAACTACAGGTTACCTTTTTCTCTAGAAAAGATCAAAACTTTTTAGATCTGTACTACTAATCAGTAAGCACTGAAATCCTCATGCTAGGAAAAAAGAAAAAAAAAGAGGAATTAAGAGAAAAAAAGGAAAATGGAGATAAAATAAAGGAAAACCAGTAAAGAGGAAAGAAAAACAACTGAATGGGTGAAAGTGGCGATTGGCACAGGTGCCCCCTTCAAAAGGCACTCTTCCCTCATTATCTCATTATTAAGAGCCAGGTGAAGCACTGAGTCAGTGCCTTGACCAAGAAACCTCTGGTGATGGACAGAAATCCTAGACATACAAGCAGGTTGATCTGGGCGGCCGCTGCTGTTTTCCAGATAGGGGTCTGGTACTGCAGTGTTACAGGCCCCCCTCTGGGCTTCTGGGGCATCACCATTCTGCGCATCAATTTTCTGGACGTCTGGCATCCTAACGATGTTATCTGGGGATGGAGAGAAAAGGGGGGGAGGTTGCTTTCAGAGAGACACAGAAAGGCTCCTCTTTCCAAGTTCCAACCCCGTGTCACTCCTCCCCACCCCCCACCCCCAGAAAAGTGGGGCACTGGGAAGCTGAGCAAATCCCTCAGAGGCAGAAGGGACCTTAGGGGTCATCTGGTCCACCCCCTTCCTTTTACAGGTGAGGAACCCGAGACCCAGAAGGGGTATTAAGTAGCAGAGACTGGAATTCGGCTTGGCCCCAAACCAGGCACTCTTTGCACTACGGAAGGACCATTAATCAGAGTCTTCCTAAGTTCTCAAAGGGATGAGTTTGGGGTCCAGGGTTGGGCGGTTTCCCTGCTCTGGCCCCGCTTACAAGGGAGTCCCAAGGACACTGCCCTCCCTCCACTACCCTACGTTGCTGCTGCTGAAGAGCTAAGAGGACGCGCAGGCTGGGAGTTCCAGCTCCGCCTCCTCCTGCCCCGCTCACTGTGTGATTCTGGACTAGTCGCTCGCCCTCTTTGGGCCTCAGTTTCCTCCCGACGGATATACTGTCCCTAAGGCCCCTCGTGACTTCTAATTCCTCGACCGCCAGCCCTCACCTCCACCCCACTTCGACCACCTGCCCTGACTCTGAAGCTGCTTCTGCCGCCCGACCGCTCCGCGCGTCCGCCAGGAGATCGGACCGCACCATCGCGCCCCTGAGCCGCCGCCAAAGGGGGGAGCAGCGGTCGAAAAGCAGGCTAGGGACTGGCGGGGAAGCTGGGTCACCAGGTGCGCGCCCCCGCTCGCGGCCGGAGCTCCAAGTGGGAGACTCCGGGATTTGAAAACAAACCGCCGCTCGTCGCTCGGGGCAACGGGCTGGCGATCACATGGCCAAGAAGATCGGACCAGTGAGGCTCGACTGGACTGTTCCATTTGGGCTGGAGAGGATGGGGGGGATGGTGGCGTGTGGACGGTTCCATAGAGCATCGGGCAGGGTAGGGAGAGTAGAATCCCGTGCCTGGAAGCAGTTTTAGGCAGGCGGACAGATGGACACAGCAACCGACAGACACAGAGATAGATAGGTACAGAAACAGACAGACACATCTTAAACTCAACGTGTTTAATCACTACTAAATCACTATTTTCCTTTAAGTCCCAATTAAAATCTCAACTTCCACAGACAGCCCAACCTGACGCCTCTTAATTTCATTGCCTTCCCTCCGTTAATTTCCTATTTGCCCTGTACCTAGTTTGCTTTGTCTGTATTTGTTTGTGTGTTGTCTTTCCCATTAGAGTATAGGGACTCTTCTTTAATAATTATTTTTATTTATTTAGTTAAATATTTCCCAATTACATGTAAAAAAACTTTTAACAATCTTAAAAAATTTGCATTCCACATTCTCTCCTTCCCTCCTTACCTCCCCTTACCCCTCCTTAAAAAAGCAATCTATTTTATATCAGTTATATATGTGAAATCATGCGAAACATATTTCCACATTAGCCATGTTGCAAAATAAAACACAAGCAAAATAAAACAATAAAAACAAAGAGTAGAAAAAATATGCTTCAATCTGCATTCAGAGTTCATCAGTTCTCTGTCTCAAGGTGGGTAGTGTTTTTCATCATGGGTCCTTTGGAATTGTCTCGGGTCATTGTCTTGATCAGAGTTGCAAAGTTTGATCATCCTTACAATATTGCTCTTCGAGAAGGAAGGACAAACAGCAACAAAAACAGTGTACAAAGTTTTCCTGATTCTGCTCACTTCACTTTGTATCAGTTCAGATATGTCTTCCCAGGTTTTCCTCATTTCTTATAGCACAGTAGTATTCCATCACAATCGTATACCACAACTTGTTCAGCCATTCCCCAAATGGTGGGCATCCCCTCAGTTTCCAATTCTTTGCCACCACAAAAAGCACTGCTATAAATATTTTTGTACATATAAATCTTTTTCCATTTTCTTCAATCTCCTTGGGATGCAAAACTAGTAGTGGTAATGCTGGGTCAAAGGATATACACAGTTGTATAGCTCTTTGGTCTTAGTTCCAAATTATTCTCCAGAATGGTTCACAACTCCACCAACAATGCATTAGTGTCCCAATTTTTCCACATCTCCTCCAACATTTGTCATTTTCCTTTTCTATCATATTAGCCAATCTGATTAGTGTGAGGAAGTATCTTGGAGTTGTTTAAATTTGCATTTCTCCAATCAATAGCGATTTAGAGTATTTTTTTCCATATGATTAGAGATAACTTTTGATTTCTTCTTCTGAAAGCTGTTCATATCCTTTGACCATTTTTCAACTGTGGAATGGCTCTTATTTTTATAAATTTGGCTCAATTCCCTACATATTTGAGAAATGAGGCCTTTATCAGAGAAACTTACTGTAAAAATTTCCCCCCAGTTTTCTGTCTTCTTTCTACTTTTGCTTGCAAATTTTTTTTTTTTTTTTTAGCCAGGCAATTGGGGTTAAGTGACTTTCCCAGGGTCACACAGCTAGTAAGTGTCATGAGTCTGAGGTCACATTTGAATTCAGGTCCTCCTGACTCCAAGGCTGGAGCTCTATCTGCTGCACCACCTAACTGCCCCCTTCTTTCTACTTTTGGCTGCATTAGTTTTATTTGTATAAAAGCCCTTTAACTTCATGTAATCAAAATTATTCATTTTATTTCCCATGATGCTCTCTATTTATTATTTGATCATAAACTCTTCCCTTATCCATAGATCTGGCAGGTACATTTTTCCGTGCTCCCTCTATGTCTAAATCATGTATCCATTTTGACCTTGTCTTGGTATATGGTGTGAGATGTTGATCTGTGTCTGGTTTCTGCTAAACTGCTTTCCAGTTTTTCCAACAATTTTCGTCAACCATGAGTTCTAATCCCCAAAGCCTGGATCTTTGAGTTTATCAAGCTTTAGATTACTATAGTTATTTACTACTTTGTATTGCATACCTAATCTATTCCATTGATTCATGACTCTATTTCTTAGCCAGTATCAGATTGTTTTGATGATTACCACTTTGTAATACAGTTTAACATATGGTACTGCTAGGCCACCTTCCTTCATGTTTTTTTTCATTGATTCCCTTGATATGCTTGATCTTTTGTTCTTCCAGATGAGTTTTGTCATGATTTTTTCTAACTCTATAAAATAATTCTTTCATAGTTTGACTAGTATGGCACTGAATAAGTAAATTAACTTTGGTAGAATTGTAATTTTAATAGTATTGGTTCAACCTACCCATGAGAAATTAGTATTTCTCCTATTGTTTAGATTTGTTTTTATTTCTGTGAAAAGTGTTTTGTAATTGTGTTTATATAATCCTTGAGTTTGTCTTAGCAGGTGGGCTCCCAAGTATTTTATATTGTCTGTCACTATTTTAAATGGAATTTCTCTTTCTATCTCTTGCTGCTTGGTGCTAATAAAGTGTGTGGGTTTATTTTATATTCTGCAACTTTGCTGAAGTTGTTAATTGTTTCAACTAATTTTTTAGTTGATTCTCTAGGGTTCACTAAATATACCATCATATCATCTGCAAAGAGTGATAGTTTTGTTTCATAATTGCCTATTTTTATTCCTTTAATTTCTTTTTCTTGTCTTATTGTTATAACTAGCATTTCTAGTACAATACTGAATAATAGTGGTGATGATGGACATCCTTGCTTCTCTTCTGATCTTACTGGAAAGGCTTCAAGTTTATTCTCATTATAATTAATGCTTGTTCTTGGTTTTAAATAGATACTACTTGTTTTAAGAAAGGTTTCATTGATTGGTAAGTTAGGGGGATATCTACCCCAAGCATGTGAAGACTGTGCCTTGGAATGGGCAAATGAGAACAATTTGTTCCAAAGGCCATGAAAGCAGCTGAAGCAGTTACTGTAGTGTTTAGAGCTTGGTCAGACATCAAAGACACCAACCTCATCCTCTGCATCCAGGGCCATCACCAGTCATCCGGACTATTATTTTGCCACTGGACTTAGATGACCCTGGAAGAGAGAGTAAGGCTGATGACTGTGCAGCTTTGCCTTACTTAAATTCAATTCACGTGACTGTGATGCCATTGGTCCTTCCTCTTTGAAAATAAAGGACAAAACCACGAATGATTTCTAGATAGATATGTATTTTGTATGAGTGGGAGCAGGGTTTAATTGTTTCCCTCCTTCAAGCTTCCCAGTATAAAAGAGGTAGTAAGTGATAGATATATTATATATATTACATCATATTATTGATATGAGATGTAAATATATTACTAATGAAGTACAAGCATGCTGATACTTTGTTATACCTTTAGGGAGTGGGACTTCTTAATCAGAAGGGGAACCTGGGATGCTACTGATGGCCCTTTTAAAAGCTGAAGTCACCAACTTTGAGAGAAAGTTCAAGGTGGAAGCAGCCTGATGGAGGAGATCCCTGTCTGTGCCTATACCAGAGCACGGCAGGAGAGAACATTTTCTCTTTTACTTTGGAGACCAGTTTGAGAATTTATAGTCAGTTCAACAAGGGGATTTGGGGACCCAACTGAGAGAGCAGAGACACACTCTGCAGATGGGCACAGACACAGAAAGGCAGCAAGAAGTAAATTCAAGGAGTATGGCAGCAAAGGAGAAAACAGAGTATGTACTCCAGAGAGAACTAACCCTGGCAAGTGAGAGTTAAACTTTTGGAAAGAAATATACCCTGGAATTCCAGTTGAGAAAGCATGCAGCAGAGATGCTGCTCTCAACGAGTAGTAGCTGAAGGACTACAAAAGGAGAAAATGGCAATGAAGGCTCTACCATAGTGGAAGCAAAAGTTGTCTTGGCCCCGTGTGTGTGTGTGTGTGTGTGTGTGTGTGTGTGTGTGCATGTGCTATTTTGTCCATGCAGGTTATGTGTATCCACTTGGGTCTATCAAAATGTGGCTTGTAGGAAAGCAAAGGTATCTCCAGAGTCTCCTCTGCCCACCCTTCTTCAGAGGAGACTTTGATTCCTGCCAGGAGGAGAAGCAGGAGGTTACACTTAGATATTATCTCACTAGCTCCTCAAAAGAGATCTTCTATATTGTGACGTGGGCACTACTAGTATTATTATCCTTCTTTTACAAATGAGGAAACTGAGACTCAAAGAAGTGACCCATTAGATTGTGAACTCCTAGAGGGCAGGGACTGTCTTTTGCCTTTTTTTGTATCTTCAGTTTTTAGCACAGTGCCTGGCACATAGTAGGCCCTTAATAAATGTTTATTGATTGATCAACTGAACTTGCCCATAGACACATAGCCAGTTATCGTCTAAGGCAAATGTGTACTAGGAGATCTCCTGACTCTGACTCTACATTTCTTGATGTAAAATCTTTTTTAATAAATTAAATAAGTTACATTAATGGCTTTTATCTTTCTATCACATTCATTTCTGAATATACCCCAACCTTCCCAATAAGCCCTCCCTTGTAAAAAAGGAAAAAGTTAAGCATAAAACACTCTATACCTATGGTCCCTCACCTCTCTAAAAAAAGGAAGAAGGTGCTTCCTCAAATCTCTTCTGAGCCAAAACTATTCATGACCAAATTCCATTTACTAAGCACCTCCCTATTATTTTAAGAAAAATAATACTATTACCAATAATAGTTCACCTTAATGTTGTAATCAATCCATAGCGTTTATTAAGTATTTCCTTTGTATCA